TCCCTATTTAAAAGGCTGGCATTGAATTCCCAATATTAATATCCCCTGCTACTAAGTTTCTTCCTTGTTGGTTTTGGCTTTGGAGATTTTAGATTGTGAGGTACACCAAAAAATGGCATCGCTCACCAACCAATAATCAATTCCTGACCTGCTTTCTCCATTAGGTTTAAACCACGAATATTTCTTAACTCCAGGATTCATACATCTCCAAATGTCTGTGAAATTATTATCACAAGCAAAGTTCTCAATAATGTTATTCTGCTGCCTCCTTCCTAAGCGACGCGCCCATCTGTCCATCCATTCATCTGGTGTCACGTTCCCATCGCCTCCAACGACAGTATAATCTGTGGGGTACATAACTTTAACTCTGAAATCACATTTGTTAAATTTTCCAACAGACTTTTATTTTGACCCTGATTATTTATGTCCATAAAGCCTTGTGACAATAAGGAATAAACCTTCGCATTTCAACACTACAGTTAACCAGTGGCCCTCTCTGTCAGCTTTGTAAGTTATAATTTGCCCTGGGAATTTATTAAAACAAATCGCCACACCTCCAGATGGATTAGATCCATGGCTGAAAAGAATCTGGTCTCCCCACCGATTAGTCCAAAATGTAACATCAGCATCTACAGAGTGAGTGTCTTGTAGTAATAAAGAGTGACATTTTTGCCCCATGCAAAATAAAAGAGTGCATTTTTCTTAACAATGTCCTTCAAACCCTGAATGTTTAATGAACTAAATATAATTTGTGAGTGAACCATAACAAGAAAAAATGAAATGAAAAAAATAAAGAGGTATGAGTTTAACCCATAACTCTTGTCACCTACTCAGTGACTAGTAACCTCTCATTTTCAGCCGAGCTCTGTTGTCCCATTAATAATAATCCACCGTATAACAGTCTGAGCCTTTCATTTAGCGTCGCCAATCCTCCGTCCTTCAATGTATCCACGAGGACCTCGGAAAAAGGTCTGTCTTGCTTGCTTGTTCAATTTGAGGCCAATCCTCCCGCGGCAGTACCTCAGCAAAGTGAAAGCAGCCATTCTTACAGACAGCCGAACCGACTCCTTCAGATCGTAGTTGTCTTTGGTCAGCTGCTCATATCTTCTCTCCAACTCTTTAACCTTCGTTCTACATTCTTTCACCTCCTCCAAGTTGAACTGAACAGCTTTCGATAGGATGGCTAGCCTTTTTAAAAAGTATAAAAAATATACAAACCAAAGATATAGTTGTAAAGAGCAGAAATATTCTAAAATTTGAAAAAACATACGAAGGCAAGAAGAATAATAAAGAGAAAGAATAAAGAGAAACAGGAAAGTGTGGATGC